GTTGTTTTGTCTCCATAAAATATAACACTCTATCATTTGTTCTGAAGCTTATATTAGCCTAGGTAAATTAATCTAAAACTATTCAAATCTCTCTTAAATTGAACATGAGTTTAAAAATGTGGCAGAACTGATCCCAATCATTTTTTTTTTTGCAGAAGTTATCGTACTGTTGGTTACTTAAGAATTTTCTTAATTTTATTTTGCATTTAGTTCCTAGAAATCTCTTCTTCAAAGAGATCTTCAAAGAAATCACTTGCTATCCTGTTGCTGTATGATTTATACAGATGCTTGCTCAAAATAGCCAAATTTGAGGATGTTTTGTGCACATAAATAGTGATGTATATCAAGCTTTTCTTGATATTTAACACTTGTCTTCTATATTCAAACATACTGCTACTGATGGTGTTTAATGAACTAGACTTATTTGTTGAGTGAAGAAAATAATCAAGGAAAGATTTACTAAGTCTTTGAGCCCACAAAACATTTTTTTACTATTATTATGCAAAGGAGAGTGACCATCTGTTCTCTATCTCCATTGAAGCCAGAACATGAGGAAATAAATTGCAGTATGAGGTAGTTAGGTTAGAATAATTGAGGAATTTCCTGACAGGGTTGTTAACACTAAAATGAATCAGGAAGAGAGGTTGTGAAATTTTCTTAGATTCTTCCCTGCCCCCACCCCCTTAATATGTTAGTTTGGTCTTGTAATCTAATAGACTTCTCCAGATTTAGTTGTCTTTACCTATGATTTCACAAATGTGTTTCTTTCAAGTTTAACATCAGAGGGAGGACCAGGAAAAACTAACAATAATCAAATAATAGCTGAGATTTGTTGAGTTTTTATTATGTAGAAAGCTCTGTGCAAAGAACTTTGCATGCTCTTTCCCATTTGAATACAGTAACAAATCAGGTAGTTAGTTCAGTCTACATGAATTCTGTGTAGAGCTCTTAGATTGATGATGGCTACCACCCACCAAAAAACTAATTACTGGCAGTCGATTTGTATATCTCTTAAACTTACTATAAGGATTGAAGAGTCACCCTACTATAACTGTAGTAATTCACATATTTTGAGAGGGACAGGAATGTAGCATGAGAGATGACTTGGTTAGGTCACTTTGGATATGTTAGTATGGCACTGAGAGCCTGACTATTAATTTCATGGAGCTGTATCAGGGAACTTGTTATTTCCAATGCTCCATGTTATCTCTGAATAATTCAGTGAGCTGAAGATCATTGTTTTTCCTTCCAAAAGGCAGAATGCGTTTCTGCAAAAGAATGAAACCAAGTGGCTCTCAACAGTTGTAATGTAGAAAAGAAACCCATGTTTTCAATGGCTCTAGACATTTGAAGCCCAAATGCTAATATCCATCTCATTGCCATCTCTTCCTCTTCTGAAACAAACCCTTCTCTTTAGTTTTCATAATGGATAAGTCTTAGATCTTTCCTGAGTTTGTCAGTCCTGTGTGATGAAGCTTATTTTTGTGTTTGTTCTTTGTGTTCTTTTGATTGTAAACTTTAGCAACAGGGATGGGCCTTGATTTTACAACCTTGTATGCATGTAGTGACTTCATTGATGGGAGATGTAGTAAGTCCAGCTGAAGGAAATAATTATGATGGAAACATAAGTTGACAGTTTGCTTGAATCAGAGCTGATGAAAGGAAAGAACATTTTCCTCTTTTGATAAGGCTTCCCAAATGGACTCACTTTCTTTAGCTATGCTTGCACTACTGTTGCTATTTCCATGAGTTCTAGTCTAAGTTTCATGAATATTAGGAGTTCCCAAGAGTGGGAGCAGTTGAACAAGAAGTCCAGAGCTCTGAGTTCTAATCGAGGCTTGCTATTTGAGTCACCAAGATTAAACTGACACAGGTTTCAAAACTGAAACAAATTTTCTTTGTGGCTTTTAGGTTGTTTTAAACAACTTTTAAAATAATTTTTTCAGAAGAGCAATGATCAAAAACAGTACAGAGGTATCTATAAGGCCAACTGTTTCTTAGATAATTCACAGATAATTTAAATTAAACACCTCTAAAAAAGTGAGTGAATAATTTACCAAGTTTTGTCATTGCCCTCTTGTCTTCGTTTAAATTTTTCTTTTCCTTTTTCTTCTTTTTAGAATTGTTGATAGAACTCTGTCATTCCCATCCACGTGGACAAGTGGCCTTTAAATTTTGGGGCTTACAGGAGGGCAGTATAATACAGTGTACATTTGCTTGGGCTCTATAGTTAAATACTCCAGGCTATTAGCAGTGTGAATTTGGGCAAGATCATAAGCTCCTTTTGCTTGACTGAGAAAATAGGGATAATAACCATAACTCAGGAAATTGTGAGAATTCAATGAGATAATTCAGATAAGATCGTTAACATAGTCCTATCCCACGAGCTTGTACTCCATGAATGTTATTTCTCCTCCTCCTCCTCTTCTTCTGCTCTTTCTCCTCCTTCCAAGGCTTCTTTGAGTTCTAGAACCCTTTGAGAAGCTAATGAGAGATCTGACTCCAGCAAATGAACATATGTCTACATATTTTAGATAACTTAATAAAAATTACTCAAATTATTGATTCACAGTGTAGATTATATGATAGAAAATTTTATACTTTATATATTGAAAGCCTTTTATTTTGATTAAAATAATGGTAAAATGAAGACTATAATTATTTAGCTGCATTTCATTTTATCTATAATTCTGTTTTATGGTTATTTTTATTAAATATTTTTATTTTTTTAATTTTTTTTTTTTTTTTGCGGTACACGGGCCTCTCACTGTTGTGGCCTCTCCCATTGCGGAGCACAGGCTCTGGACGCGCAGGCTCAGCGGCCATGGCTCACGGACCCAGCCGCTCCGCGGCATGCGGGATCTTCCCGGACCGGGGCACGAACCCACGTCACCTGCATCGGCATGTGGACTCTCAACCACTGCGCCACCAGGGAAGCCCTATTTTTATTTTTTAAATTAATTTTGTACTAAACTTTTTTTGAAATAAATTTAATTTAAAGAAAAGTTGTAAAGATAGTACAGAGAGCACCCATATCTTCAATATCTGGCTTTTCCTATTATTACTATGTTATCTAAATAAGCTAAGAAACCAAAATTGGTACATGTATTAACTAAACTCCAGATTTGATTCAGCTTTAACTTGTCTTCCATGAATGCTTTTTTCTATTCCAGGATTCAGTCTTGGGATAGAAATTGTTTATAACCATCATGTCTCTGTAGTCTTTTCTAGTTTGTGAATTCTTTCCTTATTTTTCATGATCTTCACATTTTTGAGAAATATTGGTTGGAGATTTTGTAGAATGTTCCTCAATTTGGGTTTGTCTGATATTTTCTCATAATTAAACTAAGGAAATTGAGGCTTAAAGAGGTCAAGTAACTTGACCATACCAGTAGAAGCTGGGTCTGGAACTTAAAATAAGTTTTCTTCATCCCAAAGTATATGATTTTTCCACTATATATGAATTACACATATATAAAATATACTTTAAAAATTTTGTCATAATATCAAAATGTCTGACAGTAAGGGGTTTTAATAGTTATTTTAATAATCTCATTAAATTTTTTCTATAATAGTTTAAGATTAATAGCTATTTCACTTGGATACAGTAATACGAAGTGATTTTGTGGTTACAGTATTCCCAGATCCAAGTATATTCTGAATATTACTACATTTCCAAAATTCTCCAGGTGGATAAAAATTCATTATGTTAAGAAGCATTTAGTTGAAGGTGCTGCTGAAAGCAGTCTCACTTCATTTTCCTCAGAGTGCACACTTGCTGCTAATTTTGTTTTTGCATTGAAAGTAAGCATCAAAGAAAAAAACAATGTTTGACAGGTACAGGGGAAAGTCATATCAGAGTCTTGTGAATATTGTTTGAGAGATGTTAATTTTTAGGCATCCAGTTCCTAATTCTCAAAGATACTTAAAATATTATTAAAAGTCATTGAGTATGGAAAAATCCATAAATTCCTGCAAAACCTTGTAAAATAAATTTCCTGGTAGCTGAACAAAGAGTTGAATTAGAACGAAATATGCAGGTGAAAAGTCCATTCCCTGTATCGATTTGGATATCCCTCACTAACTGAACATGAACTAGAATAACTGGTCACTTCTCTATTTCTGTGTTTCTTCTAGAATGGTTTTATGTAGCCTGAAATTATAAGCTCGCAATAAAGTTTGCTACTCAGAAGACAAGTGATTTGAGGTACAAGGGAAAGGTGACTGTTTCATACATTTGATGGGAAGTTATGACAGAAGTAAAACAAATTAAAATAACTGAGTAGGCATTGAAGTGACATCTGTAGAAATCTTAAAAAGTAGACTAGCTTCTCACTGGTTTAGTATGGTCCTGATTTTCAGTACATCTTGGATTCAAAAAGAGAGAATACCAGGCAAAAGTTTAAAGAAGGTGAGGGACTTCCCTGGTGGTCCAGTGGTTAAGACTTCGCCTTCAAATGCAGGGGGTACTGGTTCCATCCCTGGTTGGGGAGCTAAGATCCCACATGCCTCATGGCCAAAAATCCAAAACATAAAACAGAAGTAATACTGTAATAAATTCAATAAAGACTTTAAAATGGTCCACATCAAAAAAAAATCTTCAAAAAAACTCTTTAAAAAAAAAGAATGAAGTAGTTGGCATTTTTTTCCATCCTCCCTTACCACCTGTATTACAGTTTTTCCTTCACTAGAATCACTTTCTGTTATTTATCTAGGTCACTCTTGCCAAGTGGAAAAGATATAGTTTTAAAAGCTTGGTGTATGTTCCTTAGAGTCTATATTTTTAAAGCCAAACCCTTAATAGGAACCAGATCAATGACATGTTTTCATACACAATGGCATCTGGATAGGAAACATATTTTCAGCAATTAGACCTTTAAATCATTCAAAATTTATCCATTTCTAAGGTCAGCCTGGGATTGATATTTTTAAAATTATTTACGTTAGCTACAAGAAACAAGGACAATTTATTTATCCAATAATATCTATCAAACACTTACTATGTATGAGTCAGGCACGAACTCATAGTGATCAACATCAGACAGAGGTCCCTTTTCTCATGAAGCATATATTCTTCGGAGGCTGCAATAATAAGACATATATACACAAGTAAATTTTGTCAAATGGTGATAAATAGAAAGAATTAAAAATAGGAAAGTAAATTGTGCATATATAAAGTGATGGGATTGTAAACTTTTCTTCCCTAAGCAATAGGATGGAACATGCATTATCAGAGTGAAGGGATATTAGTATATACATAATTATTCATATGTATTTAGATTATTTTTCCCAGGCAGAACATATAACTGACTTCAAAATTATCTTTTAATTCTGCATTCCATTTATGCTAAAAATGGCACATGGAGTTCTGCAAATTCAATAGTGATTAGAGTCTGTTTCTGGAAGAGTGACAAATGTGTGGTCACTTATCCTAGGATTCAGTAAGTTTTTCTTGGAGACTTTGTTATGAGGGCAGAAATCAAAGAGTCCTATAAACTTCACTAATTTATTCAACAAATATTGATTGGGCTTCCTTTATGTGCTAGGCACTGGATTTACATGTGGTCAAGCATGAAGCAGAAAGAGCTCTTGATGTCACAGAACTTAGGACCTGTAAGAAATATAGATAATAAATCATTTCAACAGTTAAGAGTATCAAGAAAGGTGAAGTAAAGGGTGCAATAAGAATACACCACAAGGATAGGACATGGACACCAGTGGTCATTTAAAGACTTCTTGGGGAAGTAGAATTAACACTGAGTCTGCAGGAGGAGTAGAAGTGAGCTAGTAAAGTGTTGGAGGGATTCTGGACGATGGAGAAGGTGGGATAATTGAGAGGAGGCAGAGATCAGCATTTCAGAGTTCTGTAGGCAAGAGAGACTCTGGTGAGTATGGGGAGCAGAAAGACTGGGAAAGCAGGAAAAACCAGTGATGGAAACGTAGGCAGCTCTGATTCTCTTACACTTTATAGTCCACGTTAAGATTTTGTTTAACCTTATGCTAAGGAAATGGGAAGTTAAGCAAATATCTTAATCGGGTAGAAAGGGGAAACAATGAAAGAAAAAGTTAATTTACAAAGCAAAAAAGTGGATAGAATTGGGCATGATTGAGAGAAAGGGGATCAGTTATGAGGATATTGCAGTAATAAGGGTGAGAAATCCTGTTAAGTTGGATGAGGATTGTGGCAGTGGTGGAAATAGAGGGATAAGAAAAACAGGAGATCGGTGATAGTTTAGATATGTTATGCTCAAAATATCTCACTTTGGCCATGGTCTGGGAGGCAGCTTAAAAATCAAAAGCATTACTGGGTATGAAAGAAGGAGGATGTTTCTTAGCGAACAGGTATCTGAACACTTTAAGGCAGGTAGGCAAAGAATTTAACAGCTATTGCCACAAGTTCTGTATATATTTATACTGGCTCCAAATAAGCTCAAACAACCTCATAAGCATTATCAAATTAACACCAGAGCATCATTTTGAATAAAGTTAACTGCCAATAGTATTGTTTGATGCCTGTCTAAAGACTATATATTTTCTTGACTTTTGAGAGGAGATGCTGATTGTTGGCCCCTTGACATCACAGGAATTAAGTAAGTTTTATAGGCTTGGTAAGACCTTAGCTGCATCCTAAGTCCCAGTCCACTAGTGGGTATGAGCAGGCATGCACTTGGTTATGGCTTTGTGGAACATGGCTTAACTTAGAAACAGTCGAGAACAAATTGAAGAGTTTCTGAACAGCAGTATCATGCCTCTTATAACGCGTAAAATCAAATCTCTGGTACTCTTTTGCCACCTTTTGCCAAAAATTTGATTTGGAATCAGCTGTGTGATTGACAACACCTGTCTACTTTACTGAAGAGATATGACAACTTCTTTTCTGGGTAGCGCTGTACCCATCTTTGCAGGAATGGTTTGCAGGCAAGTGAATATGGGAATAGCATTCTCATGAAAACAAGCTCTACTACAAATGGGGAGAGCTACAAATCTCATTAAATAGACATGGAAGCAACCTAAATGTACATCGAAGGAAGAATGGAAAAAGAAGATATGGTGCATATATACAATGGAATATTACTCAGCCATAAAAAAGAACAAAACAATGCCATTTGCAGTGACATGGGTGGACCTAGAGATTGTCATACTGAGTGAAATAAGTCAGACAGAGAAAGACAAGTGCCATATGATATCACTTATATGTGGAATCTAAAAAAATGGTACAAATGAGCCTATTTACAAAACAGAAATAGAGTCACAGATGTAGAAAACAAACTTATGGTTACCAAGGGGGAAGGGAGAGGGGAGGGACAAATTGGGAGATTGGGACTGACATATACACACTACTATATATAAAACAGATAACTACTGATAATAAGAACCTACTGTATAGCACAGGGAACTCTACTCAGTACTCTGTAATGACCTATATGGAAATAGAATCTAAAAAAGGGTGGATATATGTATATATATAACTGATTCACTTTGTTGTACAGCAGAAACTAACACAACATTGTAAATCAATACTCTAATAAAAGTTAATTTTTAAAAAAGCCAGTGAAAATCAGGCTACAGACCAAAAATGACTTAGGCATGTCAATAAAATAAATGGAATAAGTTTTGCTTTTCTTCCTTTGGCCTGGGGATCTATATTCGTTTTCTTTTTTGTTGTTAGTTTCTGCTTTATTACAAAGTGAATCAGTTATACATATACATATGTTCCCATTTCTCTTCCCTCTTGCATCTCCCTCCTTCCCACCCTCCCTATCCCACCCCTCCAGGCGGTCACAAAGCACCGAGCTGATCTCCCTGTGCTATGCGGCTGCTTCCCACTAGCTATCTACCTTACATTTGGTAGTGTATATATGTCCATGTCTCTCTCTCGCTTTGTCACAGCTTACCCTTCCCCCTCCCCATATCCTCAAGTCCATTCTCTAGTAGGTCTCTGTCTTTATTCCTGTCTTACCCCTAGGTTCTTCATGACATTTTTTTTTCTTAAATTACATATATATGTGTTAGCATATGGCATTTGTCTTTCTCTTTCTGACTTACTTCACTCTGTATGACAGACTCTAGGTCTATCCACCTCATTACAAATAGTTCAGTTTTGTTTCTTTTTATGGCTGAGTAATATTCCATTGTATATATGTACCACATCTTCTTTATCCATTCATCCGATGATGGACACTTAGGTTGTTTCCATCTCTGGGATATTGTAAATAGAGCTGCAATGAACATTTTGGTACATGACTCTTTTTGAATTATAGTTTTCTCGGGGTATATGCCCAGTAGTGGGATTGCTGGGTCATATGGTAGTTCTATTTGTAGTTTTTTAAGGAACCTCCATACTGTTCTCCATAGTGGCTGTATCAATTTACATTCCCACCAACAGTGCAAGAGGGTTCCCTTTTCTCCACACCCTCTCCAGCATTTATTGTTTCTAGATTTTTTGATGATGGCCATTCTGACTGGTGTGAGATGATATCTCATTGTAGTTTTGATTTGCATTTCTCTAATGATTAATGATGCTAAGCATTCTTTCATTTGTTTGTTGGCAGTCTGTATATCTTCTTTGGAGAAATGTCTATTTAGGCCTTCTGCCCATTTTTGGATTGGGTTGTTTTTTTGTTATCGAGCTGCATGAGCTGCTTATAAATTTTGGAGATTAATCCTTTGTCAGTTGCTTCATTTGAAAATATTTTCTCCCATTCTGAGTGTTGTCTTTTGGTCTTGTTTATGGTTTCCTTTGCTGTGCAAAAGCTTTGAAGTTTCATTAGGCCCCATTTGTTTATTTTTGTTTTTATTTCCATTTCTCTAGGAGGTGGGTCAAAAAGGATCTTGCTGTGATTTATGTCATAGAGTGTTCTGCCTATATTTTCCTCTAAGAGTTTGATAGTTTCTGGCCTTACATTTAGGTCTTTAATCCATTTCAAGCTTATTTTTGTGTATGGTGTTAGGGAGTGATCTAATCTCATACTTTTACATGTACCTGTCCAGTTTTCCCAACACCACTTATTGAAGAGGCTGTCCTTTCTCCACTGTACATTCCTGCCTCCTTTATCAAAGATAAGGTGACCATATGTGCCTGGGTTTATCTCTGGGCTTTCTATCCTGTTCCATTAATCTATCTTTCTGTTTTTGTGCCAGTACCATACTGTCTTGATTACTGTAGCTTTGTAGTATAGTCTGAAGTCAGGGAGCCTGATTCCTCCAGCTCCATTTTTCTTTCCCAAGATTGCTTTGGCTATTCGGGGTCTTTTGTGTTTCCATACAAATTGTGAAATTTTTTGTTCTAGTTCTGTGAAAAATACCAGTGGTAGTTTGATAGGGATTGCATTGAGTCTGTAGATTGCTTTGGGTAGTAGAGTCATTTTCACAATGTTGATTCTTCCAATCCAAGAACATGGTATATCTCTCCATCTATTTGTATCATCTTTAATTTCTTTCATCAGTGTCTTATAATTTTCTGCACAGAGGTCTTTTGTCTCCTTAGGTAGGTTTATTCCTAGATATTTTATTCTTTTTGTTGCAATGGTAAATGGGAGTGTTTTCTTGATTTCACTTTCAGATTTTTCATCATTAGTGTATAGGAATGCTAGAGATTTCTGTGCATTAATTTTGTATCCTGCTACTTTACCAAATTCATTGATTAGCTCTAGTAGTTTTCTGGTAGCATCTTTAGGATTCTCTATGTATAGTATCATGTCATCTGCAAACAGTGACAGCTTTACTTCTTCTTTTCCGATTTGGATTCCTTTGATTTCCTTTTCTTCTCTGATTTCTGTGGCTAAAACTTCCAAAACTATGTTGAATAAGAGTGGTGAGAGTGGGCAACCTTGTCTTGTTCCTGATCTTAGTGGAAATGCTTTCAGTTTTTCACCATTTACGACGATGTTGGCTGTGGGTTTGTCATATATGGCCTTTATTATGTTGAGGAAAGTTCCCTCTATGCCTACTTTCTGCTGGGTTTTTATCATAAATGGGTGTTGAATTTAGTCAAAAGCTTTCTCTGCATCTATTGAGATGATCATATGGTTTTTCTCCTTCAATTTGTTAATATGGTTTATCACATTGATTGATTTGCGT